AAACCAGACATCTGACCGTCCTGGATTAAAAAAAAATGATATTTGGCATATATTAATATCAAAATTAAAATTTTATTTTAAAATAAAGTTATTTTTATATCTTCAATACTCTAACGCAGTCGGTAAAAACAGTATTAAATATAAAAGGTAACTTTGTAAGCAGTTTTATGGCTCTTGCTCCTTTAAAAAAACATGAAGGTATCCTTGACAGTTGCCATGACTTATGAACAGTTTACCACCCTTCAAATACATGAAAATAATCAGAATGTGTCTAATGTTGCAGGTCGGACATGAAAGAGTTGGCCTTGCCGTCCTCCTGGTGCGCCCCCCACTCGTTCCCCGCTGCCTCAACACGGGCGCTCATCAGCCTCCTGGTCCCCGCTGCACCAGCCATCACCACCACCACCTCCACCTCCACAATAACAGAGCGACAAGAAAAATTTTCTATCATCGGACACGGTACAGAAGAGGAGCTGCATCTTCAGAAGGGAGAGCAGCTTCTAGAGGCGCCGTCGGTAAGGGAGCTGCAACTACAGCAGTTGACCGCCGCCGCCGTCGTCGTCGCAGTCCACACCCTGAGAGCCACGGAGTGTTAGCAGTCGAGACTTGCCAACAGTATCAACAAGACAAGACACAGATTCATCAGAACCGACACAAGCAGCAATGTCCGACGACTCATCGTCTATCTCAGAGGAAGAACGTTGTTTGTTCCGTCCTTTCACTCGGGAATCGCTGGCCGCCGTTGAGGCACGGATCGCAGAGGAATATGCCAAGCAGAAGGAACTCGAGAAGAAAAGAGCGGAAGGCGAGGTAGGGAATTAAATCTTATAACAATTTTATTTCTTCCAGAAAGATTGAGTGTGTAGTTTCTGTGTTTGAAACTTGCACAATAAGAGCGTTATCTTACGCTGTAATTTGACGGGTCTAAAATATTTACGGACTGGGGTTGTTTTTGATGAGAGTCTGTTTTCTTTAAACAAACCCTAAAGTAAGATTTGAGTTTTCCACGGCGGTGACTATGAAGAAAGCAGTCTTCTGGGATGTGG